CATCATCGTCAAAACCCATGATAAGGAGAATAAGGAGAAGGTGATACGCGTTATAAGGTTTTATCATTGAACGTTACATTTCCTTTGTTTATAAAAGATTAGTATGCATAAACAGCTAGAGAGAGAATTATTTAATATTGTTTTACTCATTATCAACGACAAAACGATCGAACCTATTGTGGTTCCATCGTGGAAACTTTTTTTTATGCCAATCAGACTAGTGGACCCACCATATGAACATGCCCGATGATGTCACGGCGATATTGCCTAGCAGCTGTGGAGATGAACCCTACAAATTGGTTTCGAGCAAGTTTGCCTAAAAATAAAGGTTCATATGAAGGCTGACAAGGTCAATAACGTTAAAGTGAAGCCTCTGAGAATATTTTTATACGGTGGAGAACAGACCATAAAAACGTCAAATCGTTTGGTTTGGCTTGATTTGGTTTGGATTTTAAAATAGCTTTAACAATTTTTTAGTTATATTGCTACGATATCTGCAGTGTGGCAGTTTATAGTAATGTCTAGCACTGGGGAATCATGCCGCAGACATGTCTCAGTGTCACGATCTACCTAGGTTTACGGATGTTTATTCAACTGACACTAATCCGTTGTTTGATCTGTGGACATATGCCGCGAGCAAGAAGCAAGCGAAACAAACGTAGTCGCCAAAAGTTCTTTGTGCAGAACAGGACATGAGAAATTACACCTGGGTGCTAATCCTTTAGTAGGACATCAAAAGAGCCATTTGTTTGTTTGTTTGTTTGTTGTTGGGCTTAGCGCCATTTTTCAGCACACGATAGGCTATTCATGGCGGCCAGTATTAATGGTGGAGGAAGAAACCGGGAAATCACCGGAAAGAACCACCGACCCACGAGAAGTTACTGGCAAGCTTTCTCACATATCTACATTAGCCGAATCCTAGACTCGAACACACGCAGACAGAGATGAGATGGCAGTGATCCGAAACGGACAGCGCTTTAGACCACTCGGCCACTCGGGGCCCCCAAGAGCCATTTGTTATAAAATGATAGGCAACTTATATTGACAGTTCCTCTGATTTACAACTTGGGAATGGTTAGTCCACCACATCCAATCAGAATTAAGCTAGTGGGTGGGCATACCTCAAAGTTTCGAGGATATTAAACTAACTCCATACCAGAATTATTTAGTAGACCGAGGCAGATTACAAGGTGATTGCACGATTAAAGACTACTCCGAGATACGCACTCGTAAATTTGGCGTGAATCGAAGGGAAAAGATTGGAACAAAGAAAGCTTCAGTAAGGTAGATATTCGTTTGATTTTTGACTCACACATTGCAAACGCCGTAAATGTAAGTACTAATATTATGTTTATGCAATTACTAATAGTATTGTTAGAATGAAGAATTACTTTTTACAGATTCATTTGTATACTTATTTGAGATTTGTATTGGAGTTAGGAAATGATTTATGTAAGCAAGATTATGAATGTATGTTTGAATATGTTCAGAGCATAGTTAGTTACATATTTATATATTTGTATGATTTGTGATGCAAAATAAATGTGTTGGTTAGTATGTATTGATGTGAATCAATTATCGTTGCCTGTATACGAGTAATTGATATCGTGCTTTATGATGTGTTATTATGTTATGATTTTACATTGTGTTTAACATTCATGAATGTATGAGTAATTCGGTGGGAATGGATGTGACCCATGAAATTAGATAACCTAATCTGATGATAAATTATCTGGGATTAGTGTGAATTATGTGCCCAGCAAAATAGTACACCCTCCTTGTGTTTTATAGGAAGCTTTCCGGGTGGGATAACTTCAGTTAGAAGGAGATCCCGAGAGTCTGAGAGAAAAGACTGTCGGTACAGTCAGGGTCGACGGATTGGAGTCGACGGTTCAACGAGGAAGTCGACGGAAAGGGAAGTGGAGGTGGAGAGGAAATTCTAAGGAGCAAAGGAGGAGTAGAAGTGGAGAGGAAAGTCGCAGGAGTAAAGGAGGAGTGCAGGATAAATTGAGAGAGACAGATGAGTAGAATCAAGGACAGGGCGAAATTCTCACACTGATTCAGATGATGAAATAGGCACAAAAGGGTCGAGCAATTGGGAAGCTCGCATGTTGAAATTTTATTACTAATTAAATTGTTTTATTTAATTCCACTTTTTTGTACTTTTGTATTTAACTGTTTAATTTCACCCTTTAGCACTTTTGGATTTAACTGTCGGCATTGCTGACTGGGGGCTCAGAACCATATTCACCTACTTAACTTCTGAACCATAATCGAGCCTGGGTGGGTGCCATACCTAAATAAATATTGGAAACACCCCACACCATTTTCATATAATTAAACCCCATAACACTCTAGGTATAATAATTAAAGAAAACCCCTAACGTAACACCCACCCTGTCAGATTATCTTGACACCAGGCTCATCAGTCCTAACACTAACCTCTTAAAGGCGAGCGTCAAACGAGGCAGCTTTTAGCACGAGTTTTGTAAGTCTTTGATACGACTCGACCGGGGATAGAATCCACGATCTCTCGCGTCCGAGGCGAACGCTCTAACCACTAGGCCACAGGAGCGATTTATTTTCTGTCTAGTTTTACACGTAAGACAATATGTTGACATTGTATATCAGTGAGTTTAGATAAAATTAATTGCAAGCTTTAGGTAGCTTTACAAAATTAATTGCAATCTCATTGTTAGCGTGATAGGGTTGTTTGTCAAATTGAAAGAAAAACCCCAAACCTTTAAAAATCTGGATTTTCGGTCATATGTTAAAATAACATTATGCAAATATATCCACAAGCGGAAGTTCCAGTTGTTTGAATTTGATTAGACGAATAATTTATTACTTTGGTTTTACTAATTTTACTAATATATTTCTTTTTTGCTGCTTCACTTGGTGTAATTCCGATCGAGTCAAAATAATTACCAAAACAGATTCACAATGTGTGCCAGATCCGTCATTAAAATCGTGTAAATTTATAACGCATGAACCTAGCGTCACTGGAATCGCCGTAAGTTCATCTTTAGAATAAACTTCGTGGAATTTTTTCAATAATTTTTTAAAAGTTTATCAAATTTATCAAAATTACTAAACGCAGGTTACTTTGTCGGCCGCGACTTCTTCTCCTTTTACCTGGCAGCATTAGTCCTCGTCCTAATAGACCTCCCGCAAATCCTGCTAGTAATGGGGATATTAAAATAAATCCATCTTTTTGCCTCAGTCAATTCTTTTCTTTCGTCGTTATCTTTATTCGAACAGATTTATTGTTTGGGCATTATATGTATCAGACACATAAAATTAAACTCAGAAAATTACAATTAATTTTCCTAATTTTGTTACCGTCGACATTCATACGAAACATTAAACTAAAAAAATTAGTCAAACATTTTCTTTATATCACTGCCGCGGACAATACTACTACCTTTAACAGCCTTTTCTGATGCGCCAGATACTGCTCCAGACGCTAATGCTAGCCCTAATGTACCTAACACCGGCAACATTTTAGGTAGTAATGTTTTGGCTATTAGAGATAGTGCCGGACCGAAGAAACCGCCATGTTTTGACATAGCAGTTATTTATGCAGCACTTAAATTTAAAACAAAAGGTTTCTTACGATCGTATTTATTTGCTTGATTTGTTTTGGTTAACAACTATTTTGTTAAAGTACCTGCTTGAGCGTTAGGATTGACCTTTAATGATACTTTTCCCTGTTTTGCAATAGCAGATCTTAATTTTTAATTTGGCCATCAGTTAAATATATTTCTTTTATAATATATCTTGTCATTATATAACAATTATATATTAAACTTAAAGTGGAAAGCACTCTAAATTTGGACTTACATTTTGCCTCCATCAGAGTAAATTGCAACAAATCCATCGCTATCACTAACGCATATACATTTAAGTGGGCTGCTTGAGCTGGAGCTGCTCCTAGAATCCAAGTAATTTCAATATCAGTTTTGCTGTTTACTGCTCTCTCGCTATGTTTTCGAACATCGAAATAAAATATTGGATAAAGTGTATAAAACTCCTCTACTGATATCTGAGAGCCGTCTCCTACGTCCCGATATTCGAGTTAATACGTGTAAATAATGTTTTTATTAGCGTCAACTGCGGAATTGCATTCTATCGCTCGCTACGGATATTACTTTGAATTTACGTTACGGATCACTGTCATATCACCTCTGTCTGCGTCGGTTCGAGTCTAGCATTCGGCGAATGTGGATATGTGAAAAGCTTGCCAGTAACTTCTCGTGGGTTGGTGGTTCTTTCCGGTGATTTCCCTGGTTCTTCCTATATTATTAATACTGGCCGCCATGTACAGCCTATCGTACGCTGAAAAATGGAGTTAAACCAAACAACAAAATCAAGAAATAATTGACGTGGTAGTTGTTCACTTGACGTGGTTGTGACTCGTCATGTGTAGTCGGTAGTATTCGGAACTGCTCTTTGATATATTCTATTGTGCTGAAAATAAATTCTTTTAGTCTGTTTTTACAGACTATCATTTAATTCTGACATTTTAGTGATTGACGGAGTTATTCGTAGCATACACAGTGCAAGTTTGTTTATGACAAATTGCCCATCACCACCACCGAATCGAAAAACCCCAATCATTTTTGTTCTGAACGATTTAAAAAAGTGTATGATTAATTCAACGAAATACTTAATTATAGTCCCTGCAAAAGCCAAATATTTTACTTAGTGGCACCATCATTGTAGTTTGACGTGATACTACTGCAAGTTCCTTTCTATTAGCATATTCTTCATTATAACGTATACTTTTGAAAACCTACTATATTGTCACTTACTATAGCTAAAATTGCAGTTCTATCATCAGCTGGTGGATTTATACCAAGAATATCACAAGTAGCAGTAAGAGAAACTATTGTACCGTCTGCATCAGCGAATGCATCTGGTGCAGCTATATTAAAATTGTGAGCATTAGCAAAAAGAAAAGTTCTTACATTTGCGGCACTTGCAGCAGCACTAGCACCAGTTGCAACTTTTATCCTTGGAATAAATTCTCTAGATGCAGAATTTTCAATTCTAGAATCTATAAACCACATCATATTAGTTGCAGTTGATTTGGAGTAATCATCAGAAGACAAAATAGTATTTAAGATTGTACTTGCAAATTGTGATTTGAAATATCTTCGACACATCGAGTGGCAAATTACTTCTGTTGCAGCTGAAATTGCGACAGATGGAACAGCTACTGTCATAATCTGACAACGAACTTTCAATATGGCCTTGTGAGGCAGTAAAAATACTAGTATCTAGTATTAAATGTTCTGTTATAGGTTTGTTATAATTTTCATCAAGATATTCACCATATTCAAATTCTGTAACTGTTATAAATTTCTGCTAAATCGAGATAAATTTTTACAGACATTTTCTTTTAATTTATTAGGTTACACAAAATTATTATGGAGCTGTTATTTTAGATATTAAGTTTTGTATAATGTATTCTTATCGTGGTGATAAAAGTACTATTGCGCGTTAAGTTTCTTTTGTTGGTGCGATCTCTAAAATAACTTGTTTGATTGTCGGTACGGCGTCTTTTATTTTATCAGCCATTCTTGTCCAACGGCAGTTTCAGCAGCAGATGTAGCTCCAGTTGCAAAAGCTTTTGATGCGTCAAGCGCAATTGTTGCAACTTTATGAGCCATTCTTTGAATATTTTCTATAATTTTAGTAAATATATTTCCTAAAATCCTCCTACTATTTTTCTATAAACTTTATTCTGTTTCATTATATTTGAGGTTGTATAAGTTTGTTGTCAGATCTGTCAGAAAATATATTTATTATTGTTTGCGTAAGTGTAAATAAAAAGTAAAAACTTCATTATTTAAATCTGTCTTCCCGACTGATCAGTTAACTGCATATTTACTTCTGTTATTTGATTTTCAACATTTAACGGATACTAAATAATATGACGTGGATTAATTTGCATAAGAATACCTGGTGGAACTTCTGGTGAAAAACTGTATATCGTTTGTCCTTTACTACCTTTAGCTTAGTAAAATCCAGATGCTGTAGAACAATTTACCAATATAGTCAAAGACAACTATCTTGCGTTCGGTCGAATCAAACTGATTAATTGGAACAAGTTCTTCTGGTTGTTTGATAAAAAAATTCTTCACCAACTTCAAAATCATCACGAAGTTTGTCATTATAATTGTTAAATAGTTCGTACTTATCATGTTGGGGATTAATTGTGTAAATATAAACGCCATGGTAGTTAAAATTATGTCCAAGAAGTAAATTCATAAGAAAATTTGTTTTTCCCGATCCAGTTCTTCCAACAATAAGATAATGACAATCTGGAAGTTCATTGTTATGTTTATATTTTACCAAACGTTCCGTATCAAAGCTTAATATATGCTATTTTGACATTACTTTTAATTTTATGTTATATAATTGTCAGATAGTAAAAAATAATGAACTATTATTCCAAATTTGGAACATTAGTAGGAGATTCATCGTCTAAATTTTATCAAGATTACTTATCTAAATATGCAATTCTTAATCAGCTTAAAAATGAAATCAATAATTTATTAAATATCACAAGTGACGTTGATATTTTTCAGAATAAACAAGGAATTAACAAGGACGATTAAAGACAAGTAATATACCACTATCAGATGTACTTATGCAAACTTCCAACGCAGTTAATAATATCGTTACCTTTGCTGATCAAGGTAAAATACAAGATTCGGTTATGTCAGTTAACAATTTTAATACAAAGGCTGGTGGTTCATTTACTGGTAACATTAATAGAAGAATAATAAAATTACATACCCTTGAGACTCAACCGCAGAATCAGACGCAGCAACAAAAAATACTTCGATGATCAAGAATCTAAATACGTATTAGTGCGCGATGGTATCGTATGTACATTTCTCAATATGAACAATAATAGTTTTAATAATCTCAGAACACCAGAAACACATTTCGACGCTGCAACTAAAAATATGTCGACGATAGCAACATTCTGACAGTGACAGCAATGACATTAATTAACAATGAAATTACTGCATTTAGAATTGATTATATTAATGACATACAAACATTACTAAATTTTAGTAGAAATATAAACAGATCTATTAATGAATTGTTTTTGAAGTCCAGCGGTATTAAACTCGTTCATATTAACACAAACATAATATTTTTTGTTGGAAAAATTTCATCTTGTTAAATTCATCACAGACGAGCTAACAATATAGTATACACGATATCATCAGCATTAACATCATGGACACCACAAAATAACACTATCAATCATACTCCTGATGTTACTGGTGTATATAGGCTGTCCGTATTTAGCGATGAAACATTTAGTATATTTACTACATTTCCAAGGCGTCAAGTAACCGACAAATTTGTTGTAGTTGTATATCTAGTGTTAAAAAAAGATAACGAAGAAACATTTCTACTAGAACCATCTGATAAAAGATTAACCTCAGCGTCTTACCTGTGGTAATCGTGAATTTATTACCCTGACCATAGTCGGTCTACGTTGTGCATCATGTGTGATTAATTTTTTTAATTATAGTAAATTTATTTAATTACTTATTCAATCACTGTGGTAGTCATCGGCGATTTCATTAATGAGAGACCGATACACATCAATATCTATTATGCCGCCTGTAAATAATCGTTTACAAATATCAGCTGCTTCATTAATTATTTATGGGGAATTATTACCATCACATTTTCTTCCAATTAGTATTTCTATTCAATCCACATCAGCAAGGACGTTATTGGGAGAAGTAATAAAGCCGCGTTTTGGAGTAGCAAGACCACTTCCAGTGGAACCATGGGAAGAACTCGTATCTTCCTCACTTGTTGTTTTGACAGGATGCTTTTTTCGTTATTGTAAGTGTTGTTGTCGTAATTGTGATGTAAGTGGTGGTAATTTTTGTATTGTTGTGGTAGTGGTGATAATCGTCGTGATGGAGGTGATAATCGTCGTTTCCTTGATTGTTTAGCTTTTTCAAGTTGATACTTCATTGCTTCTTCTCTTTAATCCTTTCCATATATTTTTTGTTCGATATACTCGTGTACTGATATCAAAATTATTAATATCTTCCTCATATCTGATTTGCGGAGTATCAGTAGCGATGCGAAATACATTCTTGATCAAATCGGCAGATTTTAGAGATTTAATATATTCGGCTTTTACGTACTTATCTCTATCGTGATATCCAAACGAGGCAATATCAAATTATTGGTTTCGGTCTTTGATAACTGTAATACCTTCCGGCGTAAATTTATTTGTAATGCTAGGTCTGGTTCTTGGAAGAGGCTGTAGCCATTCTTCAGGTTGTGGTTGAGGAGGTTGAACGGGGGTGGTGGTTGAGCAGCTTGAATACGGCCAACAATATCGACAGGCAATGTTACAAGAATTTTTTGTGTTTTCTCAGTTGCTTTAACAATTTTCTTCGTTGGTTCGACAATTGGTTTAAGTAACTGTTCTGCACATCCTGCAAATTTAACTTGAGATTCCTGACGTGATTGTATCTATTGCTTGACAGACTCACAAACAAGTAAATATTTTTAATTGCCTCTTTAGTTAATCTAGCTGAGTGTGGTTCTCCAACATTCATTATTAATAATATTCATACTGGCTATTTAATTCATAGCAGCAGAGGAGGTGAACGGCAAAAAATGAGGTACCCGTCGAGTAAACGAGTCGCATAAAAATATGAAGAAAAAAAAAATACGTTAGCGATGGAGTAATGAAAATGACGATTTGACGTTGCTATTTTCTCCACCGTATAGAAATGTTCTAGTTTGGAGGCTTCGGTTTTACGTTATTTACGTTTCAGCCTTCGTAGGAACCTTTATTATTATACAAACGTGCTCGAAGCCAGTTTCTAGGGTTCACCTCCTCTTCTGCTTCCCTATATGGACCAATGCACTAAAGTACATTTTGAAATTGCTGATCATCACGAGAATTTATGTTAATCAACTGTAAGAATGAACGAATGGGAGTTCTTTAATCTTCTTTTCCTAAGAATGGGATTTTAAACTTGCTGGCTTTCCTCACCAATTCTACCTAGCTATGTTCACGCAGTGGATGAAGTTACTGAGTTGGATTTTATGTATCCCTAAGTGTCACATTTTGGTGTATTTTTATCATTGTTGTTATTGTTGTGGGGCTTAACGCCATTTTCAGCACGCGATAGGCTATACATGGCGGCCAGTATTAATGGTGGAGGAAGAATCCGGGAAATCACCGGAAAGAACCACCGACCCACGAGAAGCTACTGTCAAGCTTTCTCACATATCCACATTCGCCGAATCCTAGACTCGAACCCACGCAGACAGAGGTGAGATGGCAGTGATCCGTAACGAACAGCGCTTTAGACCACTTGGCCACTCTGGGCTTCATAGTTATCATTAGGAGAAAACGTATGGGCTACCTTTGAATATTCTTTGAAGAAAATCAACATCCCACCTCCCAATCTTGAATAATTCAAACAAAAAAAAATAAACAATACAAAAACTTCAAATACTAACCTAAGCAAACCGCTCCTGTGGCCTAGTGGTTAAAGTGTTAGCCTCAGATTGGGAGGTCGTGGGTTCAAACCCCGCTGGGTGGGACATCATGCTACATGTCTGCGACATGATGCCCCAATGCTAGACATTAATATAAAGCTGTCACACTGCAGACATCGTAACGATATGACTCAAAATTGTTAAGGTTACATTAAAAATCTAAAACACCCACACCTAAACTCCCACACCCACACCCACACCCACACCCAAGTGTTTCCCCCAGAAGTGAGTTTTGGGTCGGTCGCTCCTTTTATTTCACCTCCGTTGGAGGTAGACTCAAAGACCCGAAAGCCACCGTTGAGCAGTTTGGATCCCTTGCTTACATAAATCATTAGGTACTCGGTCCTAAACTCTACAGATCCCGGCAATAGAGTAAACAATTAACAGCTTGTGTAGACGTGAGCATTCTTAAGCCGATTACTTAGCCACAGATCATTGCACCGGCATAGCCTTTTCCAGTCCACAGTAGACTGGTTCACGTAGATTGCTGGAATTTGGGCATTTTATTTTTAAAAGGCCATAGATTTAAAATATGAAATGATATGTACAATAGCCGTCCTAAAAGTGTTATTTCTTTTAAGACCTCTGAGAGAATCATATGTATGCTTCGTCACCTTTACTACGATTCGATCACGGTCTAACACAAATATTTTCTTATTTCGTTCCCTCCGCTATTCGTTCCCTGTTGCTTCAAATGGCGCCCAGATAGGTGGGAAATCATATCTTGAATTGAGAGTAAGTTCAAATTTCGTTACTTTTCATCTACAGTAATAGTAAAAAATGTTATTTTTTTTACAGTTGCTTAAGTATTAAAAACACAATCACACGCATTTGTATTCATTTTTAAATCAAAGTTATATATATATATATATATATATATATATATATATATATATATATATATATATATATATATATATATATATATATATATATATATATATGTGTGTGTGTGTGTATGTATGTATGTGTGTGTGTGTGCTGAACATGGAAGATATTTAATGAAAATATAAGTTTTTAAGAAACTATTTTCGAGGATCAATGATGTTGACAGAGATAATCTTCATTAAAGTCTGTTCCTCAACAGGTTATCGGATGGGAAGCTAGGTAAACCGTTAATGAACCAGGTGTGCAAGCAAAGATATTTATTTTATTGCGAAGGTATGTAACATATGCAGTTTGTCAGATGCATATATCCTCGCATTAGATCAGGACTCATAGATCTCTGGTTACATACGTAAGTTTATGAAACCCAAGTGAAATTTAAACTTCAAACAATTCCACACACACTTTTGTTGAAAACGGTAATGTTAACCCCAACGTGTTTTGCTTCCTTGGAACTCTGAATTCTAAATATTAGCCTTTGAAGAAAAACGTTCATGAATTTAATCTCTTATTTCAGTGACAGCGAGAACAACCTGCGAATGACGAAATTCTGTGTGTCTTGCCGGTACGTTCCTCTACCGATTTGCTGTTTGAATAACGTTTATTTTTGAACTATTGAAAACACTCAGATAAAACAGCATTATTAAACCAAAATGAAAACACACACACACACACACACACACACACACACACACACACAGAGTAGAACTTCGATTATCCGTCAGACCATGACGGATATGATAAAAGTTGGATAATAGAATATTCTTGAAAATTCAAAACCTTACCGTAAACATCAATGCATATCAAATCTCAGAACATATGTTGTCTCCATTAACGTTTCTAATAGCATATCGTCGAACGCACTGCATATTCACTATCATCGAGCAAAAAATGCATATCCAATTATCATCTAGTCAACGGGAAGAAATAGCTAGCAATTTCGTTTCGGTGTGAAAAGAACATTTCAATGAAGGCCTGATATAGTTAGCCAAATAGTGAAAGATACACCCTAATATTTCTTAAAATGAAAGCATAATGTACGAGGGTTGTATCGTAGTAAAATAATGACAACATATTAATCAATTATTTTTTCTTCGACGTTTCGATGATCTCTATCGGTGATAGAAACTGTCCGCTGCCATTTATAACCCATATCTTGAGACATTGCAGAACATGATCCGCTTCATTTATGATATGAGCAGAGAAAGTAATTAATTTTGTAGTTTTTTGTTGTTGCAGTTTTACCTCTCATTTGCTAATAGAGTACCACGATTTATTATATTATGGCAGATGTTATGTGCATGACCAGAGTATTATTCATCTTTTATATTAATTTCTTATAACGGAAGTAGACCCAGTAAGCAGGTGATGATGCATGCGATTTGGACCAATTACAAATTAAAATAAATGCATGCAAGACGACTTTTTAGGCAGCCCTATTCCATATCAGCATCTATTATATGCAGTGTATTAAAATGATGTTAATTTTGTTTACTAAAATATTATTTTTCTTGTCTATAGATTTTTGAAGAGTATTTGTTTACATGTCGTTGTAAATAATCTATTTAATGTATTATGCACCCAGGTCTTCTGGACCTTAACATTTTTATCGAATGTTACATATAATGCAAGTTTTATATTGCATTATAATAAAAAAAAATTGTTTTAACCTTTCTACACCGCGCACATTACACTTCCTATGGAAGAAAAAGCCCACCAAAAGTTTTATATAGAGATCATTCTTACTAAAGTAGAACTTCTATTATCAGGCATCCAATTAATCGTCAATTCTATCTTAACCGCTCAGGCATTGTACGTCAGAATATTAAAAACAGGTACATGTACATATGTTGATATCATGATTTTTTGATGACCCGGTATAATGCTTTTAATATACATATTCTATTATCAATATATTCTCATATTCGTCATGGTCTCGGATCCGCACCCTGGCGGATAATCGAAGTTCTACTGTATGTAAATAATTTACTTCACGACATATTTGGGTAATCACAGTGAGTCATATCAGGTAGTAACTTAAGCTTTCCTACCTCAACTGAAGATTTGAATGACCTTTGTTACAGGTGCCGTGGGCTGGAAAAACACCCAATTTGTGAATGGTAGGTAATTTAAATGCATCCATACCTTTCAGTTTGAATCCGTATATACGCATTACCGGTGTTGTAGTGCTTGCTGTACACTTTCGTTACGATATACGGGGTTCTTAATTAGGTAAGTAGAAACTGATATTATATTACTTTTATCACGTGTTTCTAATGAAGCCTGAAAATATTGATCATGCAAGATGCGCATAGAATGCGGGTCAAACGGACACTTACTCGATTAAAGCACGAGAGCAAAAAAATCTAGAAAATAAGAACATACATAAACGGCGTGTAGGGTATTTTTAGTCATACTTTCGAGGGACACGGCTTAGCTGTTAACAAGGCTAAGTAGGACACTAATAAAATACAGAGCACTTATGGGTGTGAATGGAGAATTTCGCACACGAAGATAATTGGCTGATTGAAGACGTCACATAGGTGTTGCCTTTTCTTTGGCAATGGCTGCTAAAGCAGTTCTGAAAAGCCTTAAAATTTCGTGTAAATACTTACTAATTTCTGTATGAAGGGTACGTGGTTTTGTAGGCGAGAAATGGCATTCCAAAGAACCACATTTGACTCTGAGCGGTGCACTTTTTCGGTCGTTTATTCGCATAGTTGATGTCATTATGTTTAATTTCATCAGTTCTCCTGGACCTATTCTGGAACTGAAAATTTAGGGAAGAAATTCGAAAAACCGTCAATTCGAAAGACATGGAGAAAGATTTCTGAAAATAGGATAGATTTAATGAACAGATGAGAACATAATTTTTATTGATTTGACGCTCGTGAAAAGTACATACTATAATACATTATTCATATTCAATACAATCTAACTAAATGATCATATGATAAATAATGAGGATATAGACCTTTGCTCACATTAATCTGCTGTGAGAGAGAGAGAGAGAGAGAGAGAGAGAGAGAGAGAGAGAGAGAGAGAGAGAGAGAGAGAGAGAGAGAGAGAGAGAGAGAGAGAGAGTATAATACACACATTATAACATAGGTATGTTACGGTTGTTAAATCTTCCTTTCTGAGTAAATGAAGTAGTTTGTGAATGCTTGGTATATAATAATAATAATAATAATAATAATAATAATAATAATAATAATAATAATAATAATAATAATCAGCATACAATATTGTAAGTGAAAGGTATATAAGACAAAATGTTAATCATATTTGATCTCATTATTTATGTAAAGTTCATTTATCTTTTCATGTCACTTGTTTTCTATATATATACATACGTACACACACATACACACACACACACACACACACACACACATATATATATATATATATATATATATATATATATATATATATATATATATATATATATATATATATATATATATATATATATATATATATAACTATTATTTCTGCCCACTATTATCAAGATTCTACTACAGAATCCATGGACTGAGATTAGCAGTTAATCTACTGAGAGAGAGAGAGAGAGAGAGAGAGAGAGAGAGAGAGAGAGAGAGAGAGAGAGAGAGAGAGAGAGAGAGAGAGAGAGAGAGAGAGAGAGAGAGAGAGAGAGAGAGAGAGAGAGAGAGAGAGAGAGAGAGAGAGAGAGAGAGAGAGATGTTTTAAACATATCTTTCATATCGTTATACATGCATGAATTTTACGAAGCAACTGTTGAACTATAGTCAGAATGAAACTTGTTTTCTAATTTTTGGTTAAAAAGAGAAAAGGGAAGATGTTTAGGCTGAGTAAGGATAGTACCAGACTGAAAAAGGATAGCCCCAGACTGAATTATGATAATACCAAACTGAATTAGGGTAATGCCAGAATAAATTAAGGTAGGAACAGACTGACATAAGATAATGCCACACTGAATTAGGGTAGTACCATACTGAATTAGAGTAATGTCAGACTAAATTAGGTAATACGAGACTGAATTGGGGTAGTACCAGACTAAATTAGGGTAATATCAGACTGAATGGGGTAAAAGCACACTGAATTAGGGTATTGCCAGACTGAATTAGGTAATATCATACTGAATTGCGATTGTATCGGACTGAATTAGGGTAATACCAGA